AGTCATTTGCCATTGCGGCATGTTACTATAAGCACAAAATAATAAAGGAAAGAAGAGCTAATGCCTAAAAAACGGCGAAGCTGGCCATTGATTAATTTTCATACAAAAATGTTGACATTTGAGTGCCCTTCTACCCTCTGAACACTTGCCCTCTTGAACGAGACTCGGTGAACTTTCATTTCTGCTCACATGGTTACAGTCGAAAAGAAATCTTTTGCAATAATTGCGCATGGAAACGTTGGGGCTTATAGGAACTTGAAGCAACCTTTGCATCGTTGAAAGTATGAGCAGACCAATTCTTTTTCATTTTATGCTTCTCTAAATGTTTACGGACGAATTTTCATTTTCAAAGCCATTGTATGCTCTCATCTAATAACACAAAGCGATCTACAGTACGCTGTTAATTACAGCATCAGAAAGTTCAACATGCACTTCAAGCGGATGAAATACCAAAGAAATAGGGTCTGTCGGTTAGGAACATCAGATTCGGACACACTGGTCGATGGTAGTCCTGTGCACCGCCTTACTAACAATTCAGAGGTGGTGAGATCGCCTACCTCATCTCAACGACGACTATGACCAAATTCCGATTAGTAACATGTCAGTTAAGCAACCGTTTACTGCCAGACAATGGATATCTACGTCAGACGAAAGTGCTCCTTACACCGTCCAACTTTTTTATTCCGACTTCTTCTGACTAAAACAATGGACGAATGAAACAACACGAGCCACACAGCATGAAGATCGTTTAGTAAATATTTTTCTGACGAAGATTTTGTTTCAAAATAAAGCATAAACATAAACAAAAAATTGGGAGTTGGAACTTGAGCACTAAAAATCATGACAAAGTATCAGTCGTTGTAATTGACTTTTTGTCGTGCGCTTTTTCTGTAGATTGTAGATTGAACGTCAAAAGTCATTCAGTGGATGGATTTAAAATTTGATTGCGTGAAACATGGAAGTTGAATGTGAAGGGGTGAATAAATTCGTTAACTGCACGATTACAAACATCCAAAATGGCTTGATTCAATATTTTGTTCGGTTGTTATTTCTAATTATTACTTTTAATCTCGAGTCCTGCCGGAGTCGAAGACTCGCCGTTGAATTGACAACCTCGTGATAATTTCTGATAGTGTTACTGTCTTGTGCGGAGTGATAGTAACTTTCTGCTACATCAGTCATAGGTATCCTGTTCTGATCAACGATAGGGGGAACATTCCCTGATTTGATGTTGCAACGGCGTTGGCACGAAGGGAGACCACACCTTCCTAGATATATATTATAAAAATCATCCCAATGCCGCTGGTCGAATTGCCTTCAGAATTTCACATTCCTCGTGCATATTTTTCTTCTCCTCACAATAAGTAGAAGGTTGCTACTATTGGTAGGCTCCATATCTGAAGTTACATCTGAATTTCTAATTTCACCTAGATTAACCACCATATGGGCTGTGTCAGAAGGTGCCACCGACGACCTCCTTTCAACATCAGCAGGTAAAACTGATTATGGCTCTCCATAGTCCTTTGCCAGCTAAAGCACTTTGTTAGCAACCTAAGAACAAAGCTTTTTTGACAGAGCATCTTCCTCTAGTTGTTTCGCCTGAATGATTTTTTTTGGAATTTTACCCTTGGGAGGAGAAATGCTCAACATTAGGGTAACAAGCTACTAGAAAAGAAGAAATTGCCTTAATATGTCGATGACGTCAAGGTAAAAAGGGAGGCCTCACTTTTACATATAGCAATTTACGGAAGCTGAGCCCAATTACTGAGCTCGAGCTCCCGTTCGAGCGAATAGTAACACTCGATAAGCATTCTATCTCGAAGAAGTACTGTTCAGTCTCCTGTTATCCTGGAACTCGGTAACCATCTTTTAGATGAAATGAATCAATCACTCCTTTCAAAGGGCTCATAATGGTCTTCATCCTATCGGGGAACATTGAGCGCTTCCTCGCTAAGACACTTCTAATCAGTCCATGAAATACAGTGAGGAAACACAGTTTTGGTCTTCTTCTTCTTCTTCTTCTTCTTCTCCCTAGCGTTAGTCCCGCGCCGTCGCAGGGTCCGCTGTTCTTATCAG